CTGATTCCAATACATAAAGGAGCAGAGAAAGGAAAGAGCTCCCTGCTAGAAGACCACCGGAAGAAGCACTATGGTAAGAATTATTCAGCAAGTGTATTTTTATATAGCTCTTCGACACACCGATGTCTTATCTCTAGGGAATGAGGCTGATCTGAATTAATAATACATTATAAAACAAAACTCATTAAACGCTAAAGAAATAATTTGAATATTTGCCAGCTGTTGCCTGATATTATTAGATGTACAGTAGGCAAGTGAGCTGACATACATACAATATTCTAGTGTGTAATTTGGGTTTCTCCTTCTTCCACCTATCATAGATATCACTTTGACTCCACTGCACAAAGGAGCTAAGAAGGACATTACTTTTAGGACTTTTAACAAGACAGGTATATATATATATGACATTATCTCAGCAACATAACATTTATTGTCGTCCTTTGTATTTGCTGAATTCAACTGCATTGATCTCGTCAGGCCGCCTTCTAGGTCCAGGCTTGACTCCCCTGAAAAGGTCTCATCTTGCTCAAGGTAAATATGTGATATCAGATATGGGTATTTACAGTAGATTACTTTAAGTGTGTGTGAATGTTATGATTGAGAGCCTGTGGTGGGAGCTGTCCTCTGCAGTGTGCTCTTGGCAGCAGACAATCCAAAGAGCAGAAGGAATGTTGAACTGCAGCCAGTGTTCTCACAGTACAGGCCAGAGCTGTTTCAGAGCAACACAGCTGTATTAAGCTGTTTCACACTCTGTATAACACCATGTGTGTGTGTGTGTGTGAGCAACAGAGAGAAAGACGGATTGAAAGGGTGTGTTCTGATGCTTTTGTGTTATGCCAGTGACATGGTAGTGAGAGGAGAGGCCTTATAGTCTGTCCCACATTGTGATTTGGCTTGTTCTGTATTCTGTACTGGCACTACATTCACTATACTGTGTATTATAAGTATATGTTTATATATTTTGGGGTTATATTTGCAATCCATCTCATCTTTTCCTCCTGCTTTCCAATTTTGTCAGTTCACAAGCCCTCAGTCAGACTTGAGTGTCAGACAAGTGTTGCAACATGGAAGCAGAAGCACTGTTGTGGATTACAGTCTTTCTGTGCTGTCAGGATGAGATTTACTGTATCTTTCTACCTCTTAGCCAAATGAATTTTCCAGTGCTCCCTTTGTGTCGGTCCACACTTTGAATAGTTTTTTTTTCTTCCACTACACAGTCCACACTTTCATTCTTTCTCTGTCTTCATTTTCTCCCCTTTGTTCTTATCTTGCCTACGCCTTCCTTCATCAGCCATGCTTCTCATCCTGTATTGATGTTTGCACGGCAGCTTTTCGCTCTAATGAGGATTGTAAATTGTATTTCTGTATCTAAGATACACACACACACACACACACACACACACACACACATACACACACACGCAAACAGTTTGGTGTTTCAAATACAGAGAGAAGAGAAGGGAATAATAGTAGATGTGGTGCTCTTGATAATGAGCTAAAGACTAGCACAGATCAGTGTTCCACTGTAAGAGTTTGAAAGGCTATTTTCTGTCAAAAATCTATGTATTTATATTTATATGGCCTGCCAGGTTTTCTAACAGCTTTTTAATGCCATTATTATATACTTATTTAAACAATATCTGAGGAATAAAAGAAGGAAATGTACAGTGAAAAGTAGGGGTGGGTTTTGAGTCTCAGTTCCCATTTAGAAGTGTCAGTCTGACCAATTCCTGAGTTATTTAGCTCTGACACAACTTCCTCATATCATGCCTGCATTGTTAATCCACAGCACAAAGGCGAAACTATTTGAACGTATGTCCATATTTTATCAATCCAGAAAACAATTGTAGACAATACATCCCCTTCGATTACAGGGATGGTTAACTTTGGACACATACTGTAGTTTATTGCTGCACTGTCTCCTAAAGCTAGTGCAAGTGCAATACCGAAGGTCAAACTGTACTATTAAAACAGCGCTTAAGGACTATAATGGTTGTTGTTTTATTTATTTGTTAATTACAGATTTTAGCCGATTAACTACAAAATGAATGTAGTTTACTGTAAGTAATTACGACTGATTTCCTCTGCTTTTGTTGGCAGGCAAATGTTTCCCTTAATTTCAGTGCAATATGAAAATCAGCTAAAATAATCAATTTTGCTTGAGATGCACAGTGAACAATTGGCTGCATTTATTTATTGATCCAGAATTGTGTATTACAGGTTGTTAGTCTGCAGCAGAGTCTTAAACCAAATGTCTGAGCATCCTTGAACACACCAGCAGAATAACTTTCAAAACAATCCTTGCAACTATAGTGCAGTGATAATGTAACTTGACACAAATGAGATAACACAACATCAAACAAGTTGATTTTTACAGCATAATCAAATAAGTTGCAACCAGTCTGCATGATGGGAAATCGATTTAAAACTGTGAGATATGCTTTGGAGAATGGCTGGCAGTAATTCACGCAATGTGTTGTTAATTGGATAAAACATCAATACGGTCTATGAACATTAGTCATTATTGACGGCCATATTTAGGACATGATTTTTAATAGAAAAAACTAACTGAAAGAAATATGTTTTGCAAGCACATTTTCTTCTATTTAATCTATTTTAGATGTAATAAGCAGATCATTTAGTAGTCAGGCCGCGTGTCAGTGGAGAAGGCATTAACAGTTCAAAAGCAGTCAGATGAACTACACATAAGAGTCACAGGTATTGTACTAAATGCTGTCAAATGCACATCCATACAAATGTGATGTGTCCCGTAATCCACACTCTCCTGTCCATCTGACAGACTGTTTAATATTTACTCACACGTTTGTCTCTTCTGCCTTTCTTATTATTCTTAGAGAAGATAGAGTAAAGACTTCAGCTGTGAGGAGATGCGCTACCTACCGGAGTGAAGAAGTACAGTTTCTCCTGGACCTTTTATCTTCTGGTTATATCTCTTCCAACCTGGATGCACTAATGTTGGCCTGGCCAAGAAATACACACAGCTAATGGCAACAAGAGAAAATTTCCTTTTAAGAAATTTGATATTTTCCGTCCTAACAGCCAAACTGCCTTCAGATTAACAGAAGTTTGACTACTGTTTCTTTTCCTTCAAACCTTCCCTCTCTTCAGTTCAAAACACAAAGAGGCATTTACTTCATACATTTATAATATATTCTACTGTGTGTGTGTTTACTTCAGATATTCTTAATATATTGTACTGTATTTATATTAATTTGTAGCACTTTGGTGGATATTGTTCATTGTTTCTTGTTATTAAAACAGATGTTTGAGATTCTTACATTTCTGTCAGCGTCTTCTCTGTCAAAGACATTTTCAGATTTGATTATTGCAAACAGGATTTCATAAATATTTTTAAATTAGAATGTAGCTGCAGTCTATTTACTGTATGTTTTAAGTGTCACTTGAGACTTATCAGGTTAAGGATGAATTGTGCCAGTAAATTAGCTGTATGACCTTTGAGGTACATTTTAAAGTTGTTTTGTTCTAGCACCACCTATTAATGAATCACCACCACTGTGTTGTCACATGTACGTCCGCCAAATTTGATTGCGACAGCACACTGTGTCTATCACATGTGGCAGTATAAAGGCCTATCCCTAAACACTATGGCAAGAATTTCCACCAATGACATGACATGACATGTAAAAAGTAATATCCATTTCAGCATGTATGGTCCAGAACGCTTTTTTAAAAATGACTGTCATTTCCAAGTTTGGTACATTTGGGTTTTTATTTCTGATGAACAAATAATGCAAAGAAAAACAGTCACTGCACTTATGCTTGAACAACAAATATTATATGTGTGTTACTTCCTTGACACGCTGTGTCATGGAAACAAATAGCAAGTTGTGTTTTCTTAGTTTTTGTACTGTGGCCATCAAAGTCCAAAGCGAGACAGGAAATCAACAAGGAGAAGGGGGGACTCAAGGCCAGTACTTTTGTTTATTGAGCTGAAAGCCTCTGGTATGACAGGAATCACAAATAGTGCAAATCATGCTGTTTATCTATTCTCAGTGTGCATCAAGAAGCAGCTCAGTCTGCTAACTGTATCCTTTACTAAAGGCTAGCCTAACTGAGATCACTGTCTGAAGTGTGCCTCTCCCACTCCAAAGGGACTCATCGGTGTGGTGCCAAAACCATGGGACTCAACCGTTTGCCATGCCCTGAGGCTGTTAAAGTTAGGTGTGGCTGGACAAGACAAAATGTCTGGGAGTGGGACTTATGGATTATGAATTACGGAACTGGAGAAGAAAACAGAAGTGGCGCAACACAACACACACACAATGATTTTGTGATCTAGATTAACTATTGTGTTTTTAAAAGTTAAATGGAGCAGAAGATACGTTTAGATGAAGTCGCAGAATAGTTCTCCCTTCATTAGGTAGTAATCCTGTCAAACTGGCAAAGTTAATTCTCTAAGTTGAATTTTCAGGCAGGCAGGAGTGGCCTCTCATACCAATGCACTGACTGCTTTGAGAAGATGTTGGGATAGCAATGCAGTGAGGGCAGGGGGAGTGTGGTGGGAGAGGCATGTGAGGAGCAGATTTCTCATGGACTGAAATGCAGTCACACTGAAGACTTTTGACCCAAGCCCCCCGAAAACCTCCGTCCTCTGGAAAGAATGTGGCTTCGTCTCTCCCCCCTTCTTCTCCTCCCTCCGCTCTCGTCCTCTCTCCCACAAGACTGTGAGAAGGCACTGTCTCTCTTACATGGACTGTGCTGTGTTGCCTGGAATTTGATTTCCATGTGTACATTGTTTCCCATACATGTACTGATGTGTTGTTATGGGGCGAGCCTATAGCTAATGTAACTTCATAGCCTCGAGGCTAATGAATGCTCGATGCTGATGGAGTATCACGCCAGCTCGCCTTTATCTTCATCTGCTAGCTTTTCCTCATTTCCATTCTGAAAATCCCCAACATATGCTGTATTTATCCAATATTTCTGCTAGTTAAAAAAAAACACATGACCATAACACATGTGGAATAATATTTTTATTTTCACAAGCAAGCCACTACTTGGGTTAAAACAAATCACATTATTGTATTGAAAAGACAATAAAATGATGATCACACCTGTTAGAGGAATACTGCAAGATCCAAACATGACTATGTTAGGACATAAATGTTTTTGGACTCTTGTATCCTGCCATATAGCGGTATGCACATACTATCTCCATCTTTGGTTGCATTGCTGTTGTCCCTTGCCTGTCATTTCCCATCCACCTAAAAAGATTTGTACTTTTCTCTCTGTACTTGATCAACATAAAGAAGAAAAAAATAATCACACATCCCTTGTATAGGGTTGTTATATAGCAATGCCACCTTTTTCTTCAAGTCCCTACAAGAAATATGTTTAAATTCTTGTTTGAATCTTGTTGAAATTGCATAGAGAAAGATCTCTGTTGTCCAACAATACACTCAAGTACACTCATGTCCCCTGTGGTGTTTGAGCCCCTTTACCCCTCACCCACACACCTGCAGGTAGTATAAATGTATCAAAAACATATATGAATGACTTTTTTGTGTGACAAAACATCCGTTTTTTCCAGAATTCATTTGGCACATGGGTTCATTTAGAAAGAAAAATAACTGTTTGCCTTTATTACACCTCTGAAGGTATAAAAAATACATTGCATCTGTGATTCTTTCAGATTTCATGTAAAGGGTTAAGAGGGTTTCACAGAAATATATCCATTCACTTATATCATAAATCCTCCTTGAATTCACATCAGGTCAGTGGAAATGCTCATGTCTGTGATGGGAGTGTCATCGGGGATCTTGACATCATTGGGAATGAGGTCAGCGACAAGGTCATTTCCTTTCAGCTCTAAGTTCTGTAGAAGTTCGCTGACACTTTCCTCGTTGACGTCACTCACTAGCTGCTCCAAACTCCCTGCAGCCTCCACCTCCATCGGCTTTTCCAGAGATTCTGATGTTTCCTCAGACTTCTCCGGCTGAAGTGTGGAAATCACAGAAACCTCAGCACTGTCTCGGCACTCCTCAGTCACCAGGATGTCTGAGGGCTCGTCTGCACTGTCTGGGGCAGGGATTGGAGCTGGGGAGGGAGGAGTGTTAACAGGTTGGGAAGTTGCATCAGGGACACCCAGGTCAATCAAAGGGAGTGAGGAAATCACTGGCTCAGGGAGGGACTCTTGGGTAAGCATGTCTGTCTGCTGCTCCAGAGCTTCAGCTGGGGCTGGTATTGACTCTGGGATGGGCTCAGGGACTGCCTCAACTTCTACATCTGGGACTGAGGTAGGCTCGGGTTCGGGAACAGGCTCTGGAGCTGGCTCTGGTGTAACCTGAGCTTCAGCAATGGGTTCTGGTTCTGCAACGGGTTCTGGCTCTGCGACAGGTTCTGGCTCTACAACAGGTTCTGGTTCTGCAACGGGTTCTGGCTCTACAACGGGTTCTGGCTCTGCAACAGGTTCTGGAACGGGTTCTGCAACAGGTTCTGGAGCGGGTTCTGCAACCGGTTCTGGTTTTGCAACCGGTTCTGGTTTTGCAACCGGTTCTGGTTCACTGACTGAAACCAGAGGCTCAGCTTGGACTGCAGCTGGGGTTTCCTTGGTCACAGGCTCTGGTTCAGCATCATTTAGTGGGGCTGGGGCAGCAGGAGCCTCTACCTCTTTACACTCTGATACACATTCTTCACGGGGTAAACAGGCCACTGGCGTCACTGACTCCCCCACCACCACATCTAGGTTCTCTGTCTCCACGGTCTGCGTTATCCCAGCGTCTTCTGCTTGTTGTGTAGCCGCTGGCTCCTCTGCAGTCTCCTGTTCGGTGGTAGCAGCTTCAGCACTGTCGGCTGGGGCATCTCGCCTTCTGCTGAACCTGTTTCCCATGATGAACCTGTACAGAAGATTAAAACAACAACAAAATGATTTGAAACGATTAAAGGTCAAATTCTATGCTTTATGTGTTTTCAAAAGGTATTCAACAGTTTATTTTTTCAGCTCAATATTGCACACAGTACGATTCCTGTTGCAGGCACTGTATGTTGAGTTGAAGTTGCTTTTCCTCGAAATTCATAAATATGCAATTGTTCAAGGTTGCAAAAACAAATAAAAGTAAAGAGAGTAACTTTTTTAAAGTTGCCAGAACCCATTTAACTGGTTGAGCAAAGATTTTCCAGTTTGTGTATTATGGTACATCGTGTTCTCTTGTCTCCTCCCCGGGCTGCATGTACTATTTAGTATTTTGTGCTATTTAGTGTCAGGATTTGAGCGTGTCTATATGGTGAATGTTTTTTTGGAGAGCCCACGGACAATGTAAAGCATTTGATTGATTCTTTCTTTTTGCCTGTTTTTCACTTCATTGCCACCCTCTAAGCTCTTAACTCCCAGTACAAAAACATTCGGAGCAACTTTAGACGCGCACTGAAAACGTTTGCAACTTCACATCACTCAACAGCTCTGCAAAGGAAAATTACGATTTCCCCTGGCTTGTATTTTCTTATTTTTATTTGTAAAAAATAAAATAAAACAGAAAACAAGACAACCACACCTTTTTCCAGCTGTTCCCTCTGTGAGAACCGTGTATTCGCATATGCGGTTCAAACTATTTTATTATCTAACATAATGACACAACAAATATCCCGATTATAATTATCATCAACAATATCTGATATTAATTGTTGCTCAAAGCAAAACGAACAAAGAAACTGTTACAGACGACCCCGCCTCCCTCTCCTGCTGTACAAACCTAAAACCATCCAAAATGTACAGAAGTAAAAAATCAAAAATCAACAGCTCCGGTTATAACGTGCAGTTAAAAATAGACAACCGAAACCAACCTTTTGAACCCTTTTTTTCGGTGCAGTGAAAGTAGATGAAGTCGCAGATGATCTCGCACTCTTAACTTGGAGGAGACCGCACGTCAAACTGTCTGTCGGAGCGCGCACCAGCCGAGCTGAGTCCCATATACGCTGCTGTGCGCCGTGCGCCGTGCGCGTCCACGTCCCTGCGCGCTCCTTGCACCACCCCAAAGAGCTACACTTCCTGAGCCACAATGATTTGGTCGCTTTGTCTCTCAGTCAACAAACGTAAGTAAACAAAGCAAAAAATTTAACTAGTATAATAAAATAATAAAACATAATATGCAGCCAATATCAGTATTATCGACAAACCTGCTACACATGTGTCACGTTCCAAAATACTCACTATTAGAACTTTTTTTGATATTTGATTGAATGCCAGTGATTTAAAGTTTTGACCGCAGTCTAATTATAATTAACAGCGTTTAATTGAAGTGAAATGTGATAATGATGGGCACGTACTGCGTTAAACATGCGTGTCAGCTGACCAGCTGTAGGATGAATGTGTGAAAAGTTTGCTGACAACCATTCAGAGCTGATTCCTGAAGATCACGCAGATCTGTTTCATTTACATGCATTTTTTGTCCATTAAATGGGCTTTTTCTGTACATACTAAGAATTATTGTGGAGTGTTTGTATTGATTTCTGTCAACATGAATATTAAATCTACAGGTCAGAGGTCATAAGGCTTGAGAAGGCTTCAGTTATGGCTGCTCTCTCTGTGAGGAGATCCTCTGGGTCAAGGCATTCTTTGTGGATTTCGGCGTTTCTCCTGCTCATCTTCATTCAGATGTTATTTTCGCTGGTGTTTTTTGCTGGTGGATTTATCCACTCCAACGAAACTCTCATCAGCCCCTCTAACTTCTGTTTAATATTTCAACATGGTGAACTGTCTTGTGGCAGGTTCAGGAGCTTTGTTGTTAACATCCTCATAACGGCGGTTACCCTGGGATTATACGTTCCACTGGCGCTTGTGGCCTTTGCCCTGCTGGCCATGCTGTTAGCAGCTTATGCCAAAGACAGAGCAGCACTCTGGTTGAGCATGGCCTGCCAGGCGGCATCAAGCCTGCTCATCCTGACTGGCCTTATTGCCTTTTTGATACTCAATTGGAGCTATGTGAGCTGGAAACACATGACCTTCTGGTTCTATGACTGCGTGGGTGTGCAAGTTCAGCTGGTCTTCACGACGGCACTGACCTGTGTGTCAGGGAGGAGGCTGACGTCTGACTGGAAATAGATGGGTCCAAATAAAAAGTCACCCTCGTCTCGTTAACAGGAACTTGAATTGTAATGCTTGATAAAGGGAATAATCACTTTTTGACTATTAGAATGATGTTCTTTGTTATGTTGTCACTAAACACTGGTCAAACCCTTACTTTGGGACATATGTTGATGAAAACTAAGTGTTATTACATGTTATTTTTACAGATCCATGTTTCCCTTCTTTTGATAAATCAACTGGAACAAGCTGTACTTGCTTTTGAATGCTGTAATTCTAGATAGTGTGTAACTTACTCAAATAAAGACAGTTTTCCTAATTTCTTTGATATGTACAGCTGGCAGACGTGCTAGTGAAAATGAAACTAAAAAAAAAAAGGTAGTTGACTAAGAGTTCCTGCTGACACTTCATGTTTTGAAACTGCTTGTTCAAGAAAGAAAAAACTTGAGTGTATGAATAACTATATAGCTATTTCATCATTTATTAAAATGGGAGAAACTAAAGAACTACAATATCTAATGAACATAAATTCACACTCAAATGTAAGAGTATGCTCTCTGATCTTCTAGTTCAGTAGCAGCGTAAGGCTTTAAATCAGTGGCATCATGAAGAGAAAACCTTGAGTTGCTGTAAGGAAATGATCTTTTTGTTTGTTATAGCTATAGTACAGCGCTCAGTAGTAGAAACTCAAGTGTTTTCCAGTTCTTTCTAACCACTAACCACTCTCAGGTGACAGCTTCTACCAGTTTCACATTTATAATCAAAGAATCAGCTCTCAACATCAAAAGTGATCTGACTTTCTGCAAAATATGTATACGAAGAAGGTATACACTGGCATTTACACCTCATTTCGATGCAAAAACTTTGGTCAACTATTGCTGAGCTGTGCCACATTTTACATAGCAGTGAAATCAATAAAAGCATCACTTCTCTAAAAGTTACTTTTATTACATAGTGCTTGTGACTATGCACAGCTCCTCCACAGGTGGTATTCCACCCTAAGAGAATAGTTTCCATTTAGTGCAAACTTGATACACAGCTCTGCACACATTGTCACAGCTTTCATCATCAGGTGAAGAAAATTTCTCGCACAAGCCGTAAGGCATCATCCTCTTCCACTGCTTCTGTTCGCGTCTGTGAGTGCTCCTCTTTATCCTCAGAATCCAGTCCAATATTCACGACACCGCCATGATCCCGAACTGGCCCTGACCTCTGACCCTCGGATCCCTGATGCTGCAGGCTCTTGGCGTACGGCACCGTTTCCACCTCTGTAATGTCCAAGTCTGTTTCTGAAACATACGTCGACTCCAGGGTGTCACCACAGTCTGAGGACTCCTCCTCTAAAGCCTCTGTCACCAGCTTAGCTATTGTCTTTGAGGAAGAAGGGTTCTCCTTCATCTTAACAGTGGAATCTGCTGCCTTGTCTTCAACCTGTGTGGGGGAACGCTCACATTTTACACAACAGTTCAGAGAACATCCTGCATTTTACATCCACTAGAAAACGCCTTAAAAGTGGTTTAATTTCTTTGTTTTACTTATATACATGCAAGTGAGCGAGGGGCACACAAAAACTATTTTAGTTTCACATATATAATGCTTTAAATTTACATTTTTAATATCATGGCAACATTCTGAACAATATTGTCATCTTTACTCTTCTTATATTTCATTCATTAACAATAATTCAGTCTTTTAGAGCATATTTGTGCGTGTGGAAACAATTTAATACGTTAAAAAAAAAAGAGAGAGAGAAAGTGAGAAAGTGCGCCACCTGTCGGTCAGTGAGGAGAAGCGCGTCCTCGCAGGCAGCGTTGGTGAGATATGACACAGCAGCTTCTACCAGCTCTCTCTCGTTCATACAGTAGAAAGCAGCCCTGAAAAACAAACCAGTGCCTATTTGTTACTCAAACCGACTTGAGGACATTCAACGGAAGCATAAAACCGAGACTTTGTCCGTTTCTTTACGTTAACTACCTCGCAGTTTTCTGTTTTCTCCTGCTCTTCAGCGGCTCCTTCTCTTTCACTTTCTTCTCTTTCTTCGCCATCCACGACGGCAGCGACCGGGGCCTTTCCGACATGTTGGCTCTGTTCTGCAACACCTTACATCATGTGTACATCTGTTCGAGGGTTACTCAAGGGTTATCCTCCATTAAGAGACTGGGAAAAATAAACAGAGGGTCTTGTAGTGGGGGTTTGCATGCAAGTCACGTGACAGCACTGACTCTGTAGCGCCACTTAGTGGATAAATAGTTTAATATAGTATTTTTAATACATTTAATGAGTGTATTGAGCTATATTAATGTCAGCCAGTGCATTGTGAGTCATTACAAATCTTTTTTTTCTTAATAAACCCTCAACCCTAAATATACCTACCATTATATGTGTAAATGTAACATATTTAACCTGTTTTTTTATGTATCTGAATCTGGAAACTAGTAACCAAAGCTCTCAAATAAATGTAATTTTGTAAAAAACTGTAATATTTCCCACTCTAATGTAGAGGAGTTTTGGAATTTGTATAAACTGTGAATATTGATGAACCCCAAAACTGTAAAATAATTAGTTATACTAAATATACTAGTCACCACCTCTGGCATTTAATTACAACCCAATTGTCTTTAGGTTAGGTTGATTTTGAGACTTGGTGTGCTCATGGAAATGTTATTAAAGATATTTAATTGTACTGAGTTTGGATGGATCTTTAAAAGTGGCACACGCTCAAATTGTTGTTATGTACATTACTGCTAATGCTCCTTGTGTCCTTATTGCATGTACTCTAGTTAATATTAGAAGGACTCATTTTTTTTAAAAAGAAAAAAGTTTGTTTACTTCCATCTCATACAAATGTACCAGCACACTTACATAAACACACACTGTACAGTTTATCAGTGCTGTTAATCTGGGTTGCAGCAGTGTGCTGTGTAATTAAAACTCTGATCATCCAAATTCACATCTCTTTTTCTGGTATTTCTGTTGTCACTCAGCTCCTCCTCGTTTGCTTTTACTTATGGTTGTTTGCAGTTTGTTTCTACTTTGATAATATTGGCATTATATTTCATGGCAATAACCCAAAAAATGCAATTAAAAAATTAAAATTTCACATTAATATCTGTTTCATTATCAACGCCAATTTCTTGTATTTTTTACTCACATTTTTCAAGATGTGGTCAGATGATAATTGTTGTTTGATGGCTTTTTTTTAAATTTTTGAAATGCATTCTGGGTATGTGTAAACATCCTGAAGCACCGATGGCTTCTAGCTCTGTATCCCTTATTCTGGCCAACAGTAGTTAATCCATGCTAGTCTAGTCGCATGACACATGTCCCCCCCCCCCCCCCTCTTTTCTCCTCTCTCTGTCCTTTTATCGCCCTCTTTCAATCTCTGATGTTCAAAACAACCTTGTATCAGACTCTCACTTTCTGTCACTTTGTACCCAAAGCTGCCTTCTCTCACTCAGGCCTTTTAATTATGTCTCTAAAGCCCCTTCCCACAAGTGCTTAGACCTTGATTGCAAAGACCAGCTTTGTATATTTGACTAAATTAAAAAGTGGGAAAAAATCAAAGAGCATGTTAACAGCCAGATGCACGCGCAATGTCACTTTCCCTAAAGCTCTCAAGTTCAGCACATTTTAGGAACAACAAGTAATCAGAGTGCCTGACTGGTATTAAATGAAAAGAAATCCTCGAAATCTCCGCACAATATTATTATTATTATTTACAACAGATACAACACAAACAAATAACCATATTGCTGACCTACATTTTTTTATTCGTATAGTGTATTTTTTATGCTTTTTTTTTGTAACACAACTGGAAAACAAAATAATTTCACCAGTTACTAGACATGAAGTAACTGGTTTCCAGTGAAACACACACACTCTGAGGGTTCGAGACAATTCTCCTGCTAAGCTGCATCCTGTCCATTTCTATTTAATAACAACAGTTTGTTTTTTACTAACCAAAATGGAAAAAAAGGTTATAACTCGTTATATTACTGCTCATTACCGTCATTGTAAAAATAATCAAATTATTTATATATTAAAAAAAAAAAAGATTTAAACATTAGAGAATTTTTGAAGAACCATCCTCAAGGCTTGCTGCCACATCCACAGATCAGGCAGTGCTAAGAAGATTTCTGTTTGCTGATGGAGTAAAGCTTGTCGCTGCTTTACTTGCTGCTGAATTTGTGGGTCAAACATGGTCAAAGTGTCTGCTAAACTTACCAACATGAGAGCATCTGGGGTTTTGTTTGACACTGGTTTGATGTTGATGTTGAGATTTTAATTCATTTTAATATGCCATATTTATAAAATCAGAATTGCAAAACATACCAATCCATAAATACATAATGCATATTTCCAAAATGCATATTGCGAATACAGCATGTACCGCTGTTGTATAGAAAACATCACTTTATTTGGATCATTTGATCAGGAAAGTTAAGCGAGTCATTTTCACCTAATCTAATCTATATCTCCTCTCGTTTTTCAGTTTCCTCTTTGTTCTTCTTACTCTGAGGGCCCTAATAGGAAGGACCAGACTACTCTTCCGGTTGTCTTATAGGCTTAACCCTGCTTTGAGTAAGGGTCATTACCAGTGGCCATCTGTCCCAGAAACGCTTGTTGTGATTGGCCATATGGCGTAAGAGAGAACAAGATTTAGGAAGCAGAATGTTTAAAATTAATTAAGATGGTCATAAAGGGGGGTGATGTTATCTGGTGGGAGAGACATAATGTCATCTCATTGTGTTACCCAGGATCATAGTGCAGGTTTATGACTGCACGTATATGTTCCCAGATGCAGACTTTGTTATAAGTAAAACCTTTCTTTCTTTCCTGTGTTGCAACACAAACAGCTTAAAATGTCTGAGATTAGACACACACAATCTGCTAACTAAGGAAAAGAGGAAGCAAATTTTACCTTGAAGGAGGCTTTTAACTCCCACTTGGCTTTGATTGCTTCCAAACACATAGGACCCAATTATTCCCAGTATGAAATCATATTCAGAGACAACGTTCAGCGCAATATTTTAGCACTCATTCAGTGTGTTTTCATACATACACTGTTAAGGATCTGTGATATGTCTGTAGTAAAGGCTTTCATTGCTTCACTAGATAACCTAACGTTTGTCTCCTCGGCCAAGTGTAAGAATTAACATAGTGGACTGTGCATCAGGGTGATTAGTTGTGACATAATCTACAGTTGTAACATCAAATGCCTGTGGCCCGAGCAAAGGCAATAAAATCTGTCGCGCTTAAAAAAAACCCCACAAATCATTGTGATGATAAATGAGAAGTCAGTGGTGTGCGGTAATCCGTTCCACCTTATTAAAGTCAGGACTTGTACGTAGGCTACTGTGCTTCCACATCAACAGTAATAAGCCAAATCCACAGGGATTTCCTGCCAATCACTGGCTCCTGGTAGTATCTTAATGACTTTTCCTTGGAAGCTGATAAAAGGGCTTTTCTTCCAAATTTGTCAATCTGTTGTGTTTTGCTGCACCGAGCTGATGAAATCAACACCGGTGCAGATTTAAAACAAGTCCAGATCGCTTTGAAAACAGTTAAAGAAGCCCTAAAAGACCATATTGCTACATGAAACGTCCTGCTGTGTAATCCCTGACACTTAAAGATGACTCCTTCCTTGAAAGCTCTGACAAACAACATGATTTTTTTAGTTTCAGGACATGCACGTGCAATCGTGCAGACAGTCGCCTACATGTGTGCATTCTTTAACAATAAGGAAATAGAAAGAATGGAGGGAATGAAAGTTGATTTCACCCAGCAGTGTCACCTGGCTCACTCAACCATAGACTGTGCCAAATTAAAGATGTTAATTTCATCCTTAAGCACACGCTAATAAGAGCAATCACTTGCATGGTTAAAACTCCAATCAAAATGCTAATTAAAATCCTGGCCCTGCAAAAGAACAGTTGAGGATCCATTATCCTCCTTTAGTTCTATATTTCTGTCTCTGCCTTCCTTTTGGTGGTAATTTCTGCCAATTTGTCAAAAAAAGGTTGTGACATTGCATAAAGATGTCTGATTATCTTCACATTACAGCTGATTTCTTTCCTTACAAGTAATAGGCATGAGTCTAATCTGCAGTTGTTGGAGGAATGGTAGTGCTTTTTCAGTGTGTGGGAGATTTTGGGGATTGGCACTGAGACACTGTTCCACTATGCAGTTTTCATTGTTATACGCTTTAAGAACTTGCAAAGTTACATGTATGCATGCAAATGTTCCATGCGCCAAAAAGCAGAAATGCCAATATTTGATTCCTTTTGAATAAAACGTGGTTGTTTTATTACTGCTCCTGAGAGATAAATAAGTTTTCAAGAGGCTATTTTGATTGAAATGAGATGTTTCGTCAAAAGAAATTTCCTACAAAGCTTGGTTTCAGTAAGTTCAAAACTTCTTTTCATTCAGTGCCTATAAATTTGAGCAAATCAGTGCCTTTGGGAACATTGCGTTCAAATCATAGAATACTGTTTTTCATTAGTTTGTTGAATGGTTCTTACAAAGAGAGCGCTTTGAAGGCTGGTTTTATAGAGCACGTAGTTTAAAAAAAAAAACAGGGGTTGAGGTAATGTGTGAAGTGCAAACAAATTTAAGACTTCAAGGACAGCTCATATTACAAAAGCTTTCCCAATGTTATAGTAATACAGGGATTCAAAGAATACACAGTATTTCCGTTGGCTTTAGGCTACTATAACACATAGCTTTCCCTTCAGTAGCAGCAGCAGCACAGGTAGACAGTCTGGGGGAGATATTGTCTTTTGTTCCACTTTGATCCCTTATCTCTGTCAACCCCCCCCCAACACCTCTCTGCATTCTAGGTCCTTGATTGCCTCTGAAGAAGCAGGCAAGACACCAGATAGGTTGCCATGGCAACAGATGCAGATTTTAACCTCTTTGATGTGCAGTACACAAAGGTGTATGTGTGTCTGTTTGTCACTTTGCATGCGTGTTGACTGGACGAGTGACGGACGGACGGGCCGAGAGTAACAAACAGCGATAGTAGACGACTGTGGCATCTGGTCATCTGTAACAGCTGGTATTCGTAGAGGCTTGTCGACGACCTGTCACTCGCACTTTCTCGCTTCAGTTCATATGTCACACAGCAGCAGTCCCTCTAAATCAAACCCAGCACTGAAAATAAATGATTCATGTGTCTCTCAGACAACACTTTCACTTTCTAATCATTAACAAGGCAGTAGTGTTGTTTTTAAGATGATGCAACTTCATGATTGCGCATATATTTTGTTGGTGAGTGTGTTCATCTCCTGCCGAATTAATTTACCTTGAGGTTGTTACTGCAGAATAAAAATTGGTCCCACCTTACTGAATAGTGAGGTCCTTGGAGACTAAGAAAATATGGCCCCTGGGCTTTCTGACAAGATGTGTTGCTTTGTGCTTTGATGGTTGTTTGTGTTGTTGTTCATCTGTCTTATATGAGTTTTGAAAGTTTTATGTGAGACACAGGAATTCAAAGATGCAGGAAAGTAAAATAAGATCATTATCATCAGAAATTATGATCTTATGAGAGGAAGGAAGGTACTAATCTCACCACATCTACTGCTTGTGTGAGTAGCAAGTCAACAGTGGAGGAAAGTAAGTACATTTACTTAATTACTGTAGGTAAGTCTACTTTGTATTGTACTTGTATTTCCATTTTCTGCTACTTTATACTTTCACTGCAGTACATTTCAGAGGGAAAATTTATACTTTCTACTCAAATACATTTATTTGATGACAGTAGTTCCTTTGCAAGATTTTATATATGATCAGCTGAGATTAAACTGCACAATTGTATATTAAGTAGTTAAAATTAACCCCCGCCACAACATTAAAATTCTGTTTAAATGTTTATGCATTAGTAATATTAATCCAATAGTATCATAATCAATATAAAGTATGTCATAATGAAAACACTGTCAGGGGCCATGCTGCTGTATAGCAAGTACATTTCCGTTTGATATTTTGAGTATATTTTACCCATATTTTACTCAATTTGTCTGTGCTTTGACTTACTACTACATAACGTTTGAAAGAAGTAATGACACATTCTTCCACTCACAAATCAAAAGTTTAATTCATAAGCAATAAAATACACCCCTTAGTTTTATACACTTGGTCTGGTATGACCAGTAGTTTATGGTGGCTAATGTTAGCAGACTTTAGATAGATATTTCTGTGTGAATTTACAAATCTATCTAAAGTCTAAAGTTGTGGGAAATTTAAATGCCCGCTGTTTTGTAGGTCGTACTTAGGCCCATGCTTCTTATAAGTCAGTTTGTTTGGAAGAAACTACAAGAACTGTTTTGTAGAATGGATGCATAAGATCACCCAAGTGTGAAATGCAAGGATGGAAAGATATCCACTAATTTGCACCGAGGCATCTGACAAAATAAGCGTCTCTGGCTTCCAGGAGCATCCCTTACATTACCCATTTCTGTGAGCAAAGCTGCAGATTTAAAGCAATTAAAATCAGCTGAAGAGGCACAAATCTGCCTGTGGTGACAGGTTCTGTTGTTAAAAGGCAACACATCAAAGGGAAATTTCCATTCCATAACTCTTGGCTTCCATTTTCATCTTTCTGCAGCTCCAGCCAGCTTTTTTAAGGCTTTAGGCATCGTGTGTCCTTCGAGACAAATGAGAAAAGACAACAGGGAATGTGCCCTGCTCTCTGCTCAGCATAGAAATGTACAGGAATGCAATGTGTTGACTGATTCATGCCTGGTGAGCTTTTTGGCACAGGCGTCCCTGCGTGTGTGTATGTGTGTGTGTGTGTGTGTTAAATTGTGTGTGAATGTGACTTCTGGACATTTGCCCTGAATCAGCTAATTCAAATTTTAAAAATGGGAATTCCTAATGCAATTCATCATTATTCCAAACAGGCTATGAGAGGATTATGGTATCACTTATTACTCCTATAAGAAGACGCACATGCGCACTCAGCTGTCCCCCCTTCTCGCGCCAACTGAGCCCAATCTTAAAACCGCGAGCAGCCGCAGACAGATGATCCGTTTATTGGAGGGGACGGATCAGTCTCACTGAGGCAGACTGCAGGAACAGCGTCCTTGCTCTGGAAAATCTCTGCTCATCTCACAGTTTTATTTTTTGATAATGAATCAGAAGTTCCTCTCCTCCTTTTTTTTTTTTTTTTTTTGCCCCAGTAGCTCCTCTCTCATCCTGACCAATGGGATTAGGATGAAAAGGTGAAAGTTGGATTTTTGTTAATCAGTGTTTCCAACACGCGCTGATCCGGACCATTTTCTGATTTAAACGGATAGGAGGGGATGCACAGTCGGTCAAGTTTGAAATCAAGACAAAATAACGGACTTCAGCTGGTGAGGATGCGTGTAGGTGAGTGGGATGATCCGTGTTTGCATAATTTAGGGCTCTAGTTAATTTTTTCTTTCTGTGTCTGAGGGAGAGTGAGGATTGGATGAGAGGAGGGAGTTTCTAATCTTTGATCATCTTTCTTTTTTTTTATATGTGATATGTGGTTTTCTTGGCAGAGTCCTGGCACATTTGTGCATGTTGTTCACAAACTTCTGTTTTCAGGTGCAATTTGGACAAACTAATTAATGCCACCACAATGAGGCTGTATGGGAAATGCATGCAGACAGTTTTAAATCTGTTTCCCAGAGACATAAAAAGACACGAAAACTCCAAACTAATCTTTTTGTTTTGAACATTTGGTGTAAGGATTCATGGTACTGAAGTGACAGCTCCACACTCTGTATGCACCATGCTTTACTGGTAAAAAGGTAAAGACAAAAATCTTAAGAAATGAATAAAAATCGCAATTTTTCAAAAGGGGGGAATCTGTTTTGCATCAGCTTGTGGTGGCTCAGTGCCTGGACAGGAGGATTTGGGCTGCTGCTGCTGCCTCAGTTCCTCCTCCTCCTCACACACACACACACAATATGGTCTCTGTGGAAGTGCTTCAGTGGAGTAGATTCATTCAATGAAAGAAATATTTCCTAAATAAAGTCTGATGTCAGTCAGCTGGAGACGTTGCAGAGATTGACAGTGTAGCTAAATGTCACTACACTTAACTTAACTTGCCATCAGTTGATTGAAAGCGA